CTTCAAGCCTATTCCCAACTATAGGTCACTCTCCAAGTCGATATCACCTTTAAGCTTGACCGCCCCCTTGAACACGTGTCGAATTCTCATGACCTGTACTCCAAAGATAGCGCTAATATCCCCGATATCGTACCTAAACGCCAAAAGAGGACCGAATCCCAAATGTGGTACCAAATACCCATTTTCGGTACTCAAAAGCCCGAAATAGTGCCCAAGTTCCGAATGCGTCTATATCCATTTTGCGACGTCAATTTAACCGGCTTCCACTGGCTCTTTCGATCTAAAATTTAAAGACATCACTCATGGACCTTCAACAAGCATGTTTGTCATAATCCAAAAGTCTCATCAACGATTTATCCATAATCAGTGGGGAACATGACCGATCTGATGCCCAATTCGAGATCATTGAGGATCGACACAGGACAATCCGGCCATGAATGTTCTTCCGTTCATTTTGTGTACCCCGATACCATCCCCAAGGGGTTATATGCTCAATGGGACCATCCACAGTTCCTACAACGGTCCCACGGACTCCCACAAACATCCCCACTTCCAGATCGGGCCATAATTAACCTAAATCAGTACTCCCTTTGGGAGACCCGTAGAGAGTGTCACCGATCTGCAGGATTTTATACCTTCGTCACAGAATCATATCACATCACCTGGTCCCAGACCTTTGTCCCAGATAGCTCCATGGAAATCGTTCTATTTTCTCGCCTTGTCCCAGATCGCTCCGTCTCAGATCGTTCCATACCCATCAGTCTGACGACAGTTGGATCGGATCGCCGATCCCCGTTGAGATCGCCTTCCATCTCCTAATTGGATCGCCAGGTCCCATGGCCTCATTTTCCACCAGTAAGTGGAGTCTCAAATATGGGGCCACCGATCCTCGTACAAAATTTTGATCAGTGACTTCGCCACACACATCTGTTGAATGTGACAGGGGCATTACTTAGCCCTTGTGGCATTAATATCCATTCCCAGAGCATACCGCTAGGCGTGCTCATTGCGCTATAGGGTATGTCCCGTTCTCGCATAAGGATTTGATAGAACCCATCCATCAAATCCATGGACGAAAAGATGGTACTCTTTGACATACCATCTATGATTACGTCCTTCCTTGGTATCGGCGTCTGAGCCGGCACCGTTGCAGCATTCAACTTGTTAAATGCATGCACTATCCGCTACCCTCCTGTTGCTTTTCGCACACAGAAGATCGGAGAGCTATGTGGGGAAGTTGATTCCCTCACATGGCCCGCAGCTAAACGATCAGCAAAGAACTTGTCGATCGCAAGTACTTGTTCACGAGGCAGTGGCCACTGCTTCATGACACAGTACATCAAGCTTGGTTTAAGCTCGACCTCGTGTCGAATACCTTTATCCTACAGTAATTCGCACGGAACAGTTTCAGGGAATACATCCTTGAATTCAACCAAATCTTCATCGAGAGGATTTGTCTTGAGCGATTCCCACGATTGAGAATCATATCGCTCAACTCGTGTCTTTTCACCGAGGACACTCTCGTCCATAGATGAACTACTGAGAACTCTCTAGTTCTCAGTACACATTGTTGCTGACCTTATGTCGGTTACACACTCGTCGTCAGCGACGAGTACGCAGATCTGCTTGACTTTGCCACTACGCAGATTACGCAAGAACCTTTTATGTTCGAGCGTTGGCAACTGAGTGATCTCCGAAGTCAACTTCGGAGGCGCAATCAAATCAAGTGTATAAGCGCCTACACTTGATCCGTTATTGACTATGACATTTAATGTCTCTGTCATTTCCTGGGGACTTATTCCCTCAGGCCTCAAAGGACTTATTCCTTCGGCTTCCCAGGGACTTATTCCCGCGGGTTTCGGGGAACTTATTTCCGCCGTATTTGTAATATCGGGACTTATTCCCTTTACTTCCTCTAGCTGTGGTTGCGCAACCACAGCGAGATCCTCTAAGAAAGACTCTCCAGTCGATCTAGGATTATCGTTTCGCTTAACCTGAGCGATCGATTGTTTCTCTTCTAGATGTTCCCCGCTAGGGATACATCTTTGTCCCGGTCCACTCGACTTATTCGAGTGGTAGACCTTCAGCGCAGCCTGTGTTTCCTCACAGCCGCCGGAACTTTGCTCCGAAGTGTAACCGTTTGTTACACTAAGGTTTTGTGCAGTCATAATAACGACCGTACCATAAGTGAGGCCATCGCACTCACTCGTAGTACATCCACACGCTTGTGGACGCTCCAAAACGTTCATCAGATGGCCATCTGATGAACAAGCGGCAGGCATCGTTACTGTCCGATGTTGCCAGTTTACCCGTGGTTCGTACCTTCTGAGCCACGGTATTCCAAGGATGACATCAAATTTGTCATCCAAATCCAATACGATAAAGTCATCGTCATATTGGGTATCTTCTAGCGTATAGTGGATCTTCACTATACGCTTCATGACGGTTACGGATGCGCCTGTCGCAAGACGTACCGTCATCCTCGTAGGAGGTGTGTCACATTCACTGAATTTAAAGTGACCATCTTCTAGCGATTGGCGTCGCACAAAATTGTTGGACGCTCCACAATCGACTAGAGCTCGAAGGGACAACTCATTTTTACTTCGAGTTTCAGGGTAATGAGTGAGATCTCATTACCTAGAGCAGCAACGCACAATATTTGTGTGTTGGGAGCAACCTTCATCAAGAGGCCCACAAATTCTCTTGACGTTGCTGGACCAGTAGGGTGCTCCGACCTACTGATCCTGTCCGTTTTTTGACGGTCCATCCCGTTGTTGCGTCTTTGCACCAACAGCGGGCCCCGCGTCCCTGCCCCTTTCTCATGGGTGGACGGTCATTACGCCCAGTGTTGCGAGACACTGGACGAGGGGCACTACACTCGTAAGCGTAGTGTCCTGTCGTCTGACATCTGTTGCATTTCTGCAACTTCTTGTAGACTGTAGAGCCAGACTTCTCGCTCTCTACATAACAGAGTTCCATCGGCTCTGGACCTCCGTTGTCATATCGTCTCGGTGTACGATATGATGTCGAGTTGGCGCGAGCCTGTCTCAGACTGAAGTCTTCCTGTTTCGCAATGGAAATGGCTTGTTCTAGTGAATCTAGTTCAAGCCGGAACAGGTGAGTCTTGACGGGACCATCAGCAAGACCCTGCATGAACACCGAAACCAACGTGTGTTCATCCACCGGGTTGGAACTTATGCAACTCGTGAGATGTTGTATATGTTGCGCGTAGGCGTGCACATCACGCTTACCTTGTTTGAGCTTCAAGAGTTAAGTTCGAGCTCTGAACTCAGCTCTAGGCGGTTCAAACGTTTGTCTGAGCCGCGAATTGAAGACTTCTAACGACCCAAACGCATATGGTTCGTGCAACTTGATCCCCAAAGCCCAAGTCATGGCACTTACTGCCAGATTTGATTGGGCAAATGCAACTTGCATTTCCCCATCGTCGATGCGACGCGCCCTTATGGCGTCGTCTAATTCGACAAACCATCTCAAGAGGGAGTCTTCTTCGACCCCCCTATACTTAGAGATGTCAATCTTCAAAGTCTCGGGTCGACGCGAATGCAACGACCCACCAACAGCATCCAGCTGCTATCTCAACAATTCAAACTGTTGAACACCCTGTTCTCTCAACAACTCTGCTTGTTGAGAACGTTGTTGGTGAAGCAAGGCTACTTTTTCTCGTTCAGCGTCAAGTTCATGTTGAATGAACTTGGCGATTGTAGCATGTTGGGCATCTCTATTGAGAGCCTCTAGCATGACGCTAACAGCATGGATGCCCATGGTCGAACCCATTCGTTCAACCGCATCCCATTCGACATCGCTCAAATGGGAGTAGCCGTCACGCGTAGCGTGAAAGCTTTGGTCATCTTCATCATCCAACATATTCATGTTGGATGTGAACGCGGTCCTTGGACGGACTACGAAGTGCTACCAGGTGTAACGGGGTACCCTGAAGCTTGTAGTGATGACAGTACAAGCTACTTATTCTGATGACAAAATAAGGCGGTGCCTCGTAACTTCACGTACACTGGTACGTGCAGAGGAAGACGGTAAGAAGAAGCGAGTACTTGGTTAAAGTAAAAAGTAGAACTGTATTTATCATAGTTAATGTCTGCAATAAACCACTATTTATCTTCATCTAACTATGTCTAAATACAAATGTGTAAATCAACTATCTGCTCACCACTCATTGCGTGCGTGTGTCGTGGCGCATCTTCGTTGGTTGATATAATGGCCTATATCAACCAATTAGGAACTACTTGGAAGTGCTACAGAATATTGTCCTTATGACAATATTCTGAGAATATAACTCTTATAGTTATATTCTATTAACAATTTCTTATAAATTGTTATGTAACGGTTCACTCCGTTACACAATTAGTGAGCGTGCGCGAGGTTGTATGGCAAACTTTTAAATCGTGCTTATCGGTGTGTCTGTGTGTGTGTCGGTCTGTGTGTTTGTCTGGTGGTCTGTCTGTACATTACGCGATTTAGTGTAGCCTACCCTTTCCAGGTGCGATCTGGCCTATACCCCCTCATTGGTATACAGACATATCCGAATTCACTTTTGGCTAGGTTGTGACGCACGCACGTGGTTAGCTCAAATCGATTAAAGATGAATCTGATCACGCAAGCAAATGCTGGACGCTCATTACCGAAGGCTGGTCGCGTTAAATGAGTACACTGTACTGGGTTTGTGCAGACATTAGCAGCATCCTACTGGTACTTTAGTGACTGCTGCTGTTGTAGAGTGTTTTGTGACTTGACTCAGTTCTATGAACTGAATTATTCATGTTAAGGAGCGAGCTTCTAAGCTTTCTCCCCAGTCTTAAGGGTCGAAATTTGGTGTAGGTCCTGCAATTTGCTCAAGAAAAAATGTATTTACCCATATAATCAGATTTTGCTATAACGTCTCACCAAAAAATGATGTCCACTTATGAAGTAAGAAAGTTCGACTGGATTTCGTGTGGATAGTGCTGATGAACTTCCCAAGCCGCTCAGATCTGCGCACGAAGACGACGGCCAGTTGGCATGGCTGAAGTTGAAACCTCCTTCTGCGGCACGTAGCCCATCTTGACGGGCTTCTGCTTCGTACTACCATTCTCATCAGGATCCAAGCCATTGTCGCCGTACAGATTGCTGGAATCGCCCTGTCCCTGCTGCTGGGTGGGTTCACCATTCACTTGGTTCGGGGTTGTCTGGTCCTGTTGGCCGTAACCGTTTCCCATGTTGTCTTCGGTATGGTGGTCCTCAGTAGTCACAGGATGGCCGTCAATACCGACGATAAGACCAGCGCCAGCATTAATACCGCCGGTATATTCTTGCACGAATGGGTGACCTTCGGTGCCACCAGTGAACAAACCAACGCCGGCACCAACGCCTGCGGACAGACCACCGGAGCTACCGATGTTCACATCAGCACCAACGCCGATGCCGCTGTAGTCATCAAAAGTCGATCGGTGGTCAGCAGTGCCGGTACCGACGATGGCACCAGCAGCAGCGCCTGCGGACAGAAGACCGGAACCACCGATGTTCACATCGGCAGCCGCACCAACCCCGATGCCATTGTAGTCATCAAAAGTCGATCGGTGGTCAGCAGTGCCGGTACCGACGATGGCACCAGCAGCAGCGCCTGCGGACAGAAGACCGGAACCACCGATGTTCACATCGGCAGCCGCACCAACCCCGATGCCATTGTAGTCATCAAAAGTCGATCGGTGGCCGGCAGTGCCGGAACCGACGATGGCACCAGCACCAGCATCGACGGACAGACCACCGGAGCCACCAATATTCGCGCCAAGACCGGCACCAACGCCAATGATAGTCGAGGGATAACCACCGTATGACGCCGGCGGGTGCTCAGTGTTCCCTTCCGAGTCAGGGCACGGAGCATAGGAGATTTGCTCTGCGTTGCCAGTACCGAGGATGACGTCAGCGCCAGCGCCAGCACCGATTGTAGTGCCGCCGAGGTTGAGGCCCACACCTGCGCCAACGCCAAGATGCAAGTCCTCGTTGTATTCCGTAGCAGCGATGCTAGACATGATCAGAGCCGCGGTCGCGCACGTGACGTACAACTTGTTGGAGGACAGCATGATGTTTGATGAAATGGGAGGGTGTTGAGTCTAAAAACTTTCGAAGGAGCGGGAGGGCTGTGAGGAGGAGGACTTGACCGGGGCGGGCAAGTTGTAGAATGACAAAGTGAGAGCAAGCTGGAACTCCCATCGGTCTCGTAGGCCGGTTCCTGTGTCTCAGGAGTGCAATGCAATAAAACCTCGTCTGGATCGAAGCTGTCGTTCCCTCGGTATCCTAGTATGCAGAGCTGACGACAAATCCGGTGCGCAGGACTGGCATTGCACACATGTGGTCGTAAACGCTCGCACGCGTGGAACGTAGCGCGGGTGCAGGTAGGTACGACGTGCAACTCTTCTCCGACGATCAAGTTTGTCGTGACAACAAACAGCTTGTAGCTGATTACAAGGATCGGTGCACCTCGCGACTATTTTGTCTCGTGAGGATGAAATGACCAAGCTAAATTGCTACCTCCGCAGAATCTCGTCGGAAAGCAAGCTAAACCAACATAAGCTTTTTCGAATCCGCGCTTCGCATACCAGTGTGCACCTGGAGTTGCTCCCATCGAGGTACTCTTTCAAGCTGTGCTAAGACGCGGCTGGTCAGTCGACTCACGTGACTATGCAGTCTCGTGCTCTTTTCTTGATCTCCGACGAGCGGGTATAGGTGACGCTTTCGGTGGATAGCCTCCCTGTCGTCATTTCAATCTGACTTTTGGCCGAACTTCAGCTTGCATGACATGTGGATGCTAACCTTCGAAACATTAGATCGAGAGAGCTTCTTCCCGAATTGAGCTTGCGTGACATGTAAAAGCCAGCCTTGTCGCCAACGCGTCAGGGAAGAAAGCCCGATGGCGACGGTGATATAGAACCCAGGTGCAAGCACGCGAGTGCCGAGCGACGCGGACCGCGTTTTGGCGCATCTCTCTCACCTCAGTGGATTGAACTGATCCAGCGATGCCTCGTACGAATAATCGACTGCGATCGATGGATTTCGTACATTTCTAGCGCCAGCTCTTTCGATCGGGCGACATGAGACAGCTTCGATCAAGCATGCCCAACTTAAAATGCCCGGCTTCTGTACACCGTCTGTTGTCCAGGCCTCACCGAATGCATTAGTAATTTTTGCCGTCGATTGCGTGTTAAAGAAAATATGAAGCTCGTACAAAAATCCAGCAAGCCAGGGTCTTGTGCTTCGATGCAGTGGTGTGATCTCGTTTACATAGCGCGTAAGAGCTTCCCGCATGCTCATTAGGCTATGTCTTCTTCCGCGCGGGCTTCTCGATATTGATCAAGCATGCTATTTTTTTTTGGTGTGAGGCTTTGAAGCGCTGCTACAGCCAATTTGTCATGCATCAATATCGTGCCTGTCGCTCATTTTTAGAGTTCAGAGATATCCAGTTGCAGCCTACGTGACACTTTCTTTTTCCGCATCAATTATGTTACGCGAACGTGCGGTTGGTTCTACCGACCGAGACGCAACAGCATGTGACCAGTTTGTTTGCGTGAGTAACCATCTGCGTTTTCCGTTCGACGAAAGTCAGTGAACGGGGTTGCGATCATACAGATGTCGAAATGGAGCACAATTTGCCTGGTGGCTCATCGAGCTATAAAAATAAATGAATACGGCTGAGAGCGTCGAAGGATCATGACATTCTTGATCAGTGATAATACACTCAGTTCGAATGGTCCGCAGTATGCACTACGCGATAAACTGTTCACCAAATTTTGAATGCGCGAAGATGTGAAGTTGCATGTGTAGTGGAACGAATCCGAATATGTTGCCTACCCCTGAAGCATAACGCTGTCGAGTTGTAACCGTCATGTGGATTTTAGTTGCCTTTCCAATTGAGCCATGCGACTGGATATCATGTTTACGGTCGAGCTGACTTATGAAATGAGAAAGAAATCGTGGCACGTTACTAACATATTCATAACATCCAGCACGATGTCAGAACTTTTGATGAAAGAAATGAATCCCACATCCGGTACACTGTCGTGGCAGACACGTACTGGAAACGCGGTGTTCGCCAGCTGCGGGCAATTGCAATCGCGAACATCGAGCTGCGGCTACTGCTGTACGTGGGTCACGCATGTCTTGAATTAATGATGTAAGAGCCCCGGGGACACCCGCCCTACGCGGGTGTCAGCCATGATCCGCTGCCGCGAATGGCGCTTACATCCTGGCTCAGGACTTTTGGGCATCTTGCACACATTAAATATGTCATTAGATGATCATGAAATGCTTCCACACTGTCGTTGCAGACCTCTGTCGAAGCCGTAACCACGGTCAAGAGTAAGTGGGATCGATAAGACCTGTACTAGTGCTCTTATACGACCGCGTCGGGCCCTCGGTGTGTGCGTTTGCACACGTTGTAGGCTGACGCAGCCCTTGCTCTCAGACTTCAAGCCGCTAAGGTGCCGTGATCAGCACTCTTCTAACTAAATACAGCGTCGTTCCTTCCACTAGTAATTAAGTTAAACAAATAGTATATTCAGGAACCAATCCGTTTCCTTACCTTTGCTGCTACCTCCACGTCGTCCACGAAACGTTCATGCAGTCTTAGCCTGTGCCTGGCAACTCGGCGAAGTGCACTTCCAAATAGGCAACTAAGCACCCACCAGATGCGTATTTTCACTTCTACCCACTGACCAACGAATTTGTCCCAACACGCGCGGGCTTACAGTTAGTTTCAATTCGGGAGTCAGATTCCCACGTCATACCGTGGCACGATGGTAATGCTCGACATCAACTGTCGCCAGGACGACCCGCATGGTACAGATAAATTTGCTTTTGTTGCAACGTTGTAGCACGTCCGTTCGTACAATCTCGAACTTTGAGACAGTCGCTGATGCTGCTACATACTGTCATAAATCCGAACCGATGACAGACTCGTCAGATCGCTGCAACAGTGGTTCTGATGCTACAGCAAGCTGGCGTTTGTGCAGCCCAAACGCGAGACGAGGAATCGCCTTTTCTTCGATTTCGGTACATTCGCGACACAATCCGATATCCGCTTCCACTCAGGGGCACGGATGATGTTGGGGTGAGCATAGAACACAAGGCCGTGTAGCAGGAATCGTGTACCTCAGGCCAACTCTCTGCGTCAGAGCCGTACCAGCTCTGGTGGCTATGTACTAACGAAGTAACGAAACTGTTGGTCCTTGTCGCGGTATTCGAACCAGATCTTCCCCAGGGACCGTCAGCTAACCCTTTCCATCAATACATTGTTCTACCGTTCCTTCTTGCACGTGATGTCGGTCGCGTGTCCGCTGCCTGTTTTTGTTTGCGCGGATAGCCGTAAGCCTTGGAGTTGTCCACTAAATCAGTGATATAATCCAACGGTACGCGAGATGTCCGAAGCCTTCTTGACTGACCTGATCCGCGTAAACGAGGATGTCTTCGCGCTATGGCTGAAAGGTTACAATAGATGCTACACTGGTCTAAAAACCCGCTGTCTTGCTATGTCATTTCTAGGTGAAGATGCAGCTGCGAAATCGCGTGAGCTATGGCGAGACACCGCGGACTAGCATCGGACCTATGATAGATTAGAGCACTACTAATCGCGGCCTAGTTTATTTCGCTCTCAGCTACTGCCACGGATCCCTCGACCAACTGTAACGGGGTGAACCGTTACATAACAATTTATAAGAAATTGTTAATAGAATACAACTATAAGAGTTATATTCTCAGAATATTGTCATAAGGACAATATTCTGCAGCACTTACGAGTAGTTCCTAATTGGTTGACATATGCCATTATATCAACCAACGAAGATGCGCCACGACACACGCACGCAATGAGTGGTGAGCAGATAGTTGATATACACATTTGTATTTAGACATAGTTAGATGAAGATAAATAGTGGTTTATTGCAGACATTAACTATGATAAATACAGTTCTACTTTTTACTTTAACCAAGTACTCGCTTCTTCTTACCGTCTTCCTCTGCACGTACCAGTGTACGTGAAGTTCCGAGGCACCGCCTTATTCTGTCATCAGAATAAGTAGCTTGTACTGTCACCAGTACAAGCTTCAGGGTGCCCCGTTACACCTGGTAGCACTTCGTAGTCCGTCCAAGGACCACGTTCACATCTAACATGAATATGTTAGATGATGAAGATGACCAAAGCTTTCACGCTACGCGTGACGGCTACTCCTATTTGAGCAATGTCGAATGGGACGCGGTTGAACGGATGGGTTCAACCATGGGCATCCATGCTGTTAGCGTCATGCTAGAGGCTCTCAATAGAGATGCCCAACATGCTACTATCGCCAAGTTCATTCAAAATGAACTTGACGCTGAACGAGAGAAAGTAGCCTTGCTTCACCAACAACGTTCTCAACAAGCAGAGTTGTTGAGAGAACAGGGTGTTCAACAGTTTGAATTGTTGAGATAGCAGCTGGATGCTGTTGGTGAGTCGTTGCATTCGCGTCGACCCGAGACTTTGAAGATTGACATCTCTAAGTATAGGGGAGTCGAAGAGGACTCCCTCTTGAGATGGTTTGTCGAATTAGACGAGGCTATAAGGGCGCGTCGCATCGACGATGGGGAAATGCAAGTTGCATTTGCCCAATCAAATCTGGCAGTAAGTGCCATGACTTGGGCTTTGGGGATCAAGTTGCACGAACCATATGCGTTTGGGTCGTTAGAAGTCTTCAATTCGCGGCTCAGACAAACGTTTGAACCGCCTAGAGCTGAGTTCAGAGCTCGAACTTAACTCTTGAAGCTCAAACAAGGTAAGCGTGATGTGCACGCCTACGCTCAACATATACAACATCTCACGAGTTGCATAAGTTCCAACCCGGTGGATGAACACACGTTGGTTTCGGTGTTCATGCAGGGTCTTGCGGATGGTCCCGCCAAGACTCACCTGTTCCGGCTTGAACTAGATTCACTAGAACAAGCCATTTCCATTGCGAAACAGGAAGACTTCAGTCTGAGACAGGCTCGCGCCAACTCGACATCATATCGTACACCGAGACGATATGACAACGGAGGTCCAGAGCCGATGGAACTC